ATCACTAGGAAACTGAAATAAATACAATTATATAAATGATTAGTAGTATTAGATATTATAGAATATGACTTTGAGAATAACTACAAAAAGCCACATATAGTACCACACTAAGAGACTAAAAATACTCAATATTATGATTGATACAGCAGTACATTTATAATGACAGTACTATATTTTAAGAAAATAAACAACGCATTTCAGTTTTGTAGACATGATTCATCATCCGATCCTGTGGTTTCTTCAGTGCAAGGCATAATGAATATTGAATTTCTTTTACGTTAAGTTAATCCAAATTTGAATAACAAGTAAGAGAAAAGTATGAGAAGAATTTTCTATGGGCTCCAGAGGTTCCATCTCAAAATAGCAAACGCCGAAGCGAGCATAAATAACTTCTTGACCCCAGGGTAGGCCGGCAACCACATATGAGTGAAGTATATGTGTATGCATGCCACTAAAAGCCTATCGACTGTTTTATTCAAGATATCATACGTGGCATACTTGATGCCTTACCTGGTTGGATTGGATGAGCTTGATTTGCGATGAAAAACTATAGAACGACGAAAAACAATAGAACAATAAAACAGACAAAGACAGATTTTTTCGCGTTTAAAATTGACCCCCTAATGTACAAAATCAGTTGTCATAGTTTCTTAATGACTTTTATGACATTTTTCATATTTGTAATATAGCAGTGTTGCTTGGGTGTTGACTTGAAGTGCTTATAAAATAGGACTATTTATTAATAATCTTCAGTAATAAGAATACTTGACATGGCTGGCGTGGAGCTCTTTGGTTCCACATGACAGCGATTTGGACTGCTCCCTGTCATCAGTTAATTCGTCACTTACTCCAAGTCACGCAAAGACAGTTTTTATGGAATATCTCGAAAACAAAAACAGGAAACCATTTTTTTTCAGCAATCGCCTGATTCTGTTGCTGATTTTGTCACCAAAAATGACGATCCTTGTTAAAACTGTATCCCACTGGGAGGGGGGTTGGGCAAAAACCCCCAAAAATTTCTAGCATAGCTAGAAAAAATATCATGCATAAGAAACGTGCCAGAAAAAACAAATTCAAAAAATAATAATAATAATAAAAATAATAATAAAATAAAATAATAATAGTAATAATAATAACATTTCCTGCACAGCCATGAGGCGTAAAAAAAATCCTGCACAAAATAAATTGACCAACCCCCCCCCTCCCCCCTAAAAAATCTAATGATATGACCCTAATGGTTTTTAGTGGCCGAGGCTTAAGTCACTGGCTTTACATAATGATTATTCAATATTATATTTTGAACGTTTTGCTCTGATCAGTAACTATCAATCACATTAACTATCTTGAAAAGTGGATTTCTAAATGATCTGAAGTCATGATTCGTTTATTTAAATATTTAAACATTTTGTCAGTGTCTCTGCCTTAAAAAATATTTTTTTAAATCTATTTTTATTTACACACGTTAGGTTTTAAAGCTAGAAGCTTGTGGGTTTAAAGCTAGTGAGGCGTATATATAACGGTTCAATCCCTGATAACGAATCGAATAAGTGCGCCTTACTGCAAAACTGCTACTAACTGTCCTTCATGTTAAACGACATAAGTTTAAGTAGTTTGGTTCTTGTAAAAAATAAACGCTCGTATCTTATGGAAACCCGGTTTAACTAAACAACAATTTAATGTTAATGGAGTATAAGTGGCGTATAAGGGACGTGACCAAATTTCTTAATTTACGCACTGATGAACCGAATTCTTTATATTATAAACATCGACGTCTTCATCAAAATGCTTCAGTTAAATTAAAAAACAGAAACTAGCTGTTGTAGCAGTATTTAAGCAAAGGATATTTTAGGAGTACGTTTCTGGAGACTAGATTTCATCTTAATTTGTCGCACACTTTTAACGAATCAGTTTATTTACTGCAGCAAGACCGTCATTTATAAATATAGAATACGCCCTTTTGCTTTAAATGGCTATGCACTCAGTATTCAAATTGCAACACCTTTACTTCCAAACTATGACAAACATATCTTTTGCCAATACATTTGATTGTATATTCTTCTTAATGAATCCCTTGTAATGATCATGAAGTTTTTCTTACCGTCACGATAAGGATGCCAATACCAAGAAAAGCAGATTTCTTCATCGTCTTTATCAGTTGTGGAGTCAATCGCAGACAATCGAACAATTCAGGCTCAAAAGACTGGCTAAATCAAAAGACGCAGTATCCTGTCTCTCAATCGCTATTTAAAGCTTTAAAAGGCTTTTGATGCTTGATTGATTTACGTCTCTCAACTGATCGTGTTCTGGATGGCTTCCCAGAATGAATCGAACGACTGCCAATAAAATGTTAAATTAATATTCAATAATATTCTAAGGACGATGATAGGCTGGCTTTTGAAAATAACGAATCGCAGCCAATAAAAAGATTGAAATGATATATTAATATTAATAAGACAATGATATGTGATTGCATTTAACCGTCATTCAATATAATATGCAACGACCTTCAATGCCTTATGTGGATCAACCAATTTAACAATTTAATRAAAACAGCTTGAACGTCTTTAATTCCTTGTGAAAATTCTGCACTCGATAATTTGATATCAAGTACACAAGTATATATCTACGTGTTTGCTTTTTGGGCTTTTCGAAAGCTTTGTATCGGATTGGTAAAAACCTTGGAATCAGGCGTTCTTTGATTTCTTGAATTATCAGCTTTCTTTCAGATAGACGTGTCAGGATTGCTAATTTTATTTGAGATTGGCTTCCAATCAGTGCCGGCGTCCCTCAAGGAACAAAACTAGGACCAATCTTGTTTCTGATTATGGTAAACGATTTGAGAACTGCTTCACCTAATACCAAGAWGTGGAAGTATGCGGATGATGTCTCGATGTCAGAGAATTTAGGAAAGGATAGCATTTCAACCATACAGTTTGTGGGCCTCTCGCAACTGGATGAAACTTAATGCTAAAAAGTGTAAGAAGCTTCGAGACTGTTTCTTCAGAGAGTAACCCCTGCTATCTCCAGTTATTTAGACAGCACATGGTTGAGCGCTTGAAACAGTTAGTTTGCTCTCATAAAGTGCTTGGACTAAATATCCAGAATATGATGATTTAAAATAGAACAAAAGTATCGTTTCGATAGGTGTTCTCGCTGTTAACCTTATGGCCATTTCATTAGCATTTCATTAGAAATTCGAAAAGCTGGAATCTTTTTAAGTGTAGAACAGAACGTCTTAAGAGAAGTTTCTTTCCTCGTACTAACTCCTTACCCAATCGTAAAATTCAGTTACATTAGTTATTCAGTTTCTCATACTAGTT